CTCAGTTACGACGCGACCAACGATTGGAAAATAGATACCGAGATCTCGCTGTCGTCGATGTCTAACAAAAACCTGTTTATTATGAGAATATTCTACGAAATCGGAACGCCTTCCACGCAAGAGATCGGTTAGACATTTGGGATCGTAATCTGAATTCATAAACCGAATATTCTGTCACAGAATAGCAATTTAGACATATTTGTGTCATAACAGTGTGCCACAGATTATATAAATAAAATGATAGTTTTGTAAAATTTAATATCATATAATGCATACAAACTAGAATTTTTAATTATAGCTAATAATTATTTTACAAAGATACAATATTTTAAAATTAATATTCAGTTTTAATTTAATAGGTCTACAAACTATATACTGTATAATTTATATCGATATTTGTTCCAGAATCACACTTATGCCGCAAAAATTAACTCATATTTTATGAGATTTTGTTATTATCCTATTTATATCAACAATTTTAAAATTTGTTTATATATTTAGAAGTGAATTAATATTGAAAATATGACATAATCTTTATAAAATATATAAAACTTCTTGAAACAACTTCTTTATGACACATTATAATCCGTAATATAGTTTTAATATATTATTTTTAGTAGTTATCTTTTGTAGTTTATATTATAAATTTATAATTAGACAATTAATGGAGATCTCAAACAAAATACTAATAATAGAATAGGTTCATTATTAAATAATTTGGTTTTAACAAGCTCATATTATAAATCATAATTTATGATACTTGAAACCTAAAACTAAATAAAATTTGCTTAAAGTTTTAATAAATTATCAAAAGTATCAATAATAATAATAATTGGCCTAATTTTAAATTATAAACTGATCAAGTAACACTGAAAAATTTAATTTAATCAGTGAATGATATACAAAATTTAAATCAAATTAACTTTGCCAAAAAAGAAAGCAATTTGATAATATTATTTTTTTTATACAATTATTGCTTATAGTAATACTTTGGCATTTAATTTGCTTTTATTGTAGTAAATATTACCAATGGATAGCAATAATAATTATAAGAATAATGAGTAATAATCAGTAACTATGCGATTACTGCACAGGAATTGCACACATTTTGCTTATAACAGTACATACAAGTCAACAATAGACAGAATAAATCAAATAAGACATTAATAATTATAATATGAATTCCTATTCAAACATAATATAATATATTTCTATAATAAATATACCATAAGAAATAATACTATTAATGAAAATAACATTCAAATCATGAGATTATAATTGAAAGAATATTCTTGTATTTGGTATTCAAATATTGCGATGACTTTTGTCGCATGGATTGATGAGTTTGTATTGTCTGCAATACAGGAATCCAAGACTTTTTGCCACAATTGATATCTCGGGGGACGTTCTTCAAGAGGCCTAAGTTCGAGCCGTTCGACAAAGTCATCGAAAGGGGTTTCCAATGGCTTCAAGAGAATCCGCAAATTAATTTCCGTAACGCACAGTCCATTGACATTAAGATGAAATCACGTATGTATTCAATAATACTGTATACACTCACTATTGAAATACTATGACTGACCATTTGGTCGCCAGTTATGCTACAGTTGTAGATTATATTATAGACAATTCCTTGAAATATTAACAATAATATATAGATAACATGTAACATTGATATTGTAATATATTTTTGAAAATATTTGGGAACTTTCACAGAATTTCTTGCTTATATTGTATGCTCTCTCTCTCTCTCTCTTAAATACGTTAATGAGATAATACAAAATGATGGTAATTAAGTTTCAGCCCTTAATAATACTCAAATAAAAGAGTAAATACATTACTTGAAAATCATTTCTTATCGCATATTTGATGGCAGTGTTTATGAAAAGAAAGTGAGGCTTATGTGCCACCAGAATATTTTACACTTAATCCCCGTAAAGACCTTTTGTCTATCACTAGGTATTAAATATTGGGTTAATTATGACTACACACTATAAGACTACTTATTCTGGTTAACGGAAACTGTTTTTGTTAATAAACATTAGTGACAACACAGTTATGGAGTTGTATTAATAAGTTTCGCGGTGTTTACGCTTGTGTACACTTTTGATATATATTTTTCAAAATTTGTTTGATTTTTTTTGCTATTTAACTCTTTTTTGTATAAATTTATNTATAATATAAACTACAAAAGATAACTACTAAAAATAATATATTAAAACTATATTACGGATTATAATGTGTCATAAAGAAGTTGTTTCAAGAAGTTTTATATATTTTATAAAGATTATGTCATATTTTCAATATTAATTCACTTCTAAAAATATAAACAAATTTTAAAATTGTTGATATAAATAGGATAATAACAAAATCTCATAAAATATGAGTTAATTTTTGCGGCATAAGCGTGATACTGGAACAAATATCGATATAAATTATACAGTATATAGTTTGTAGACCTATTAAATTAAAACTGAATATTAATTTAAAAATATTGTATCTTTGTAAAAGAATTATTAGCTATAAATAATTCTAGTTTGTATGCATTATATCATATTAAATTTTACAAAACTATTTTCTTATTTATATAATCTGTGGCACACTGTTATGACACAAATATGTCTAAATTGCTATTCTGTGACAGAATATACTGTTTATGAATTGAGATTATGATCGCAAATGTCTAACCGATCTCTTGCGTGGAAGGCGTTCCGATTTCGTAGAATATTCTCATAATAAACAGGTTTTTGTTAGACATCGACGACAGCGAGATCTCGGTATCTATTTTCCAATCGTTGGTCGCGTCGTAACTGAGACTCTCAATGGTGATGATCCGGCCCTCCAGACCGCCCGACCTAATGGTGGCGTTCACTCTATTGATCACATCCTCCAAGTTCTCAAACGTTTTGCCCGAATAATCGCTTTCATCCTTGTTTTGCGGGATTAGATCCATATAACTATAGATTTGACACCAAAATAAGACAAATATTTTAATGTAAATTGCAATTAATTTATTTAATTTATTTAATTTATTTACTAATATATTTTACAGACATCATAATTTATGTGTATATCTAAAATAAACTAATTATATTGCATTTAATTGCATGTATTAGCGTTTTAGGGATTATATTACTGGCGCTATTATTACAAGTCAGCTAATTAATTAAAAATTTATTATAATAATAACATTAATTATGTGAATGAGACGTATAGCTAGCCGTTTGACATTAATGTCATGTGGATTACAACATTGGCAAAATTTAAGTCCAAAATATAGTGTTCATTAAAATTTTGTATGCATTAATGAATTTTAATAATATTAAAACGATATCTACTTGTAATATCGTATAATAGACATATCTGTAAAGCTTTATAAGTTATAAATTATAACATTCAAAACAAATAAAATTTTCATTTTAAATTATATTCGGCTTTATTAATAAAATATTGAAATATTTTAAATGTCTGTTACATGTTTTGGTCACCCTCTCCGAGTATTTAACATTTTAATTAAGCCTTAAAATGTGAATCTAATTTTAAGAGTAAAATTTGTGAAATACACTTTTAAAATATATCAAATAATTGGATAGCAAAATAACATATTTCACAAAATACTTATTGTATTAAAGAAATTAATTTTAAAAGTTTCGCTATTTTATAATACAGTAAGTGTTTTAAGATATAAGTTATTCTGTGGACAAGGAGTGTGTAATTCATTAAATGTAAGCTCTTATGAAATATATTTTATTAAATAGGTCTCTCTCTCTCTATCTCACTCACTCACTCACTCACTCACACACACACACATCCCTATGACATTTATATCCCAATTCCTAGCACTTCAATGCAATCCATATACCTCTTAAAAAGTAAACTCTTGAAGATATTAAAAGCTTTTATTTTTGGGCAAAAATATATAATACATATAAAACCCTTTTATAGAGAAAAATCAGAGAAAACTGAACCGTTTTTTATCGCTTAGAAAAGCTTATCAAAAATCTCGGCAAAAGATCTCTGGCTTTCAAACGCTAAGTCAATGAATGGCAGAGAGAGAGAGAGAGAGAGAGAGAGAGAGAGAGACATATTTAGTAAAATATATTTCATAAGAACTTACATTTAATGAATTACACACTCCTTGTCCACAGAATAACTTATATTTTCAAAACACTTTACTGTATTATAAAATCGCGAAACTTTTAAAATTATTTTCTTTAATACAATAAGTATTTTGTGAAATATGTTATTTTGCTATCCAATTATTTTATATATTTTAAAAGTGTATTTCACAAATTTTACTCTTAAAATTAGATTCACATTTTAAGACTTAATTAAAATGATAGATACCCGGTGAGGGCGACCAAAACATGTAACAGACATTTAAAATATTTCAATATTTTATTAATAAAGCCGAATATAATTTAAAATCAAAATTTTATTTGTTTTGAATGTTATAATTTATAACTTATAAAGCTTTACAGATATGTCTATTATACGATATTACAAGTAGCTATTGTTTTAATATTATTAAAATTCATTAATGCATACACAATTTTAATGAACACTATATTTTGGACTTAAATTTTGCCAAAGTTGTAATCCACATGACATTAATGTCAAACGACTAGCTATACGTCTCATTCACATAATTAATGTTATTATTATAATAAATTTGTAATTAATTAGCTGACTTGTAATAATAGCGCCAGTAATATAATCCCTAAAACGCTAATACATGCAATTAAATGCAATATAATTAGTTTATTTTAGAAACACACATAAATTATGATGTCTGTAAAATATATTAGCGAAATATAATTGCAATTTACAGTAAAATATATGTCTTATTTTGGTGTCAAATCTATAGTTATATGGATCTAATCCCGCAAAACAAGGATGAAAGCGATTATTCGGGCAAAACGTTTGAGAACTTGGAGGATGTGATCAATAGAGTGAACGCCACGATCAGGTCGGGTGGTCTGGAGGGCCGGATCATCACCATTGAGAGC